AATCCTCCATAGCAGTGATGGAGTGCAGTGGCAGCGACTGAATTAATGAAGCAATATCAACTTATACACACAATACGAAAACTTGAATATATTCAAATTTATCTACAACTACCCCTGCTAGAATCAGCTACAATATTGTAGTATGGTTTCCTTTTATCTGTGAAGAGTGAGAGGAAGAAATTAGTGTGGATGTTTGACTGCAATCATTTGCAGATTTTATTTTCTAGCTATAAAAACATACTTTTTAAAGCTGTTAGATTTATTTTTCACATCTATTTAATGCTAAATAGGAATGATGTCATGGTTGCTATGTGTTCTGAATGTTGTTGTTTGTAAGTGATGTAACATCTTTTCATAATCTTAACTTTTCAGCTTGATGCCTGATCTGAGAACTTTCTAGGTTAGTTCTTATGTCTTCATTTTTATGTTTAATTTTTCCCTGAATAGTTTAACGCATGCCCCCATAAAAGTGGGGGACAGTATGTGTGTGAGGTCCTGCATTATTCCTTGCACCCTCTCCATGGACGTATGACAGTGACACACTCAGATCTAATATGGCTCAGACCAGCAGACCAGCCGAGTGCATGAATCCCGTTGCTTTTATTTGCCTCCCATCCATCACTCTGTGTCAGGAGCGGGGGAGGGAGGAATGAGGGTGCTGGTCAATTTCAATTTATTACTTGTGTTTCCTCCGTGGTGGGTTGAAAGTCACTGCAGGCAGGAATTCCAGACAAGGAGAGAGAGTGCACAATAAAAAAACCACTAACAAAAATCAGAGTGACAGTGTGGTGTGGCATACTTTCAATGTGCGTCACATTTCAAATTGTAAAGGCAAAAACACCAGAATCAAAATAATCCTGCTGTCCTGAGTTTAACCTTCTTGTACCGAACCACTTCCAAATTTCATCCAAATCATTACATAATAATGTGCTGTGTAATTAATTATAATAGCTTTGTGGCAGGGTGGGGGCGTGGTTTCAGGTTGGTTAGTCAAGCAAGTGATGTGGTCTGATGATAAGAAATGAGAAGGACAAGATGGAGAGCAGAGAGAGCAAAAACAAAATCTACACATTTTTGGAACTGCTCATTATTGATGGTATTAAGTTGGTATATATGGTATTTAGTTATTACACTGGGTCATTATTATTAATATTATTATTATTGGTGAAAATAATTTAATTAATATCATGGATATCCTCTTTGCTAACTATTAGCTCTTTCTGGGCTAATTCTAAGGAACCTTTTCCACATAGTTTAGCTTCTTCTGTGCTGACTTGGATTTATTTTGGTTAATAAGTAACTACATTATATTGTAGTCATTATTATAGATATATTCATTAAAGCTGAATAACCCCCATAATTCTTACTTAACATTGCACCACTATTAAAGTAATCCTGTATTCCTTACTTTCTTTCTCCTTCTCATCCCTCTGTCCTCTCACACCCATTGTCACCTTTTACCCTGATGGATAATAGTGAGATGATCTAAAATTGAGGCAAATACATCCGAAAGTTACTTCCTGTAATTTTTTTTCTTGACTAAGGATTCCGTTGTCTTCTTATGTAAACTTGATAGATTATCAATGCATTATATATTTCAGTTTTCCAAAGGACTTTTTGTTTTTATTAATACAATATATGCAAACATAATATGTATTGTTATATATGTTGAATGATAAAATAGTTTGATATTATATTTTATATAATAATTGTAGAATTGAAATAACAGATTATACACAAGCAAAGCTAAAGGGAAAAGGAGAGAGCATGTGACAAGAGAAAATGTGTAAAAAAATTAGAGAGTTAAAGAGTTTTTCTTTGACTAAAGATTGAAATGGAGGGGAAAGGACAACTGGGAGTTGTCAGGAGGGAGTGAAAACAGGAGTCTTCTGAGGGGACTGTGGTCCTGTCACATCATCAATCAGGCTGTCATAAAGACTGTCACACACACACACACACACAAATAAAAGCAGGCATCTCTGTGGGACCTGTCTCAGAAGAACAAGTGTGAATAGATCAGAAAACATGTAGGTCAACAGAGGTTGATGGCCGCACACAGATAAACACACACACACACACACCAATGAAAGCACGCATCTCTGTGGGACCTGTCTCAGAAGAACAAGTGTGAATAGATCAGAAAACATGTAGGTCAACAGAGGTTGATGGCCGCACACAGATAAACACACACACACACACACCAATGAAAGCAGGCATCTCTGTGGGACCTGTCTCAGAAGAACAAGTGTGAATAGATCAGAAAACATGTAGGTCAACAGAGGTTGATGGCCGCACACAGATAAACACACACACACACACCGTCGGACACACACGTAGTTGCTATTCAAAGAAATGTTTCAGAAGACGTGTCTGTCAAACGAACGTCTTGACATATATTTGTAATCAGCTTCAACTCTTTTCGTCTTCAGAGACAGAGAGAAAACCTCTGCCAGCATCAGAAAAGCTCCTCTTCACAAACCTCCTCTCCATTCGTTATCTCTTCCTGTGGAGCACTCGGTGTGTCTTGTTGTGTTGCACTGAGCCCAGTCGGTCGTGTATAGCTCCCTCCTCTCTGCTGCCTTTCCCTATCACTAATGCAACAGACATTAGCATAGTGTTTGATGTTGCGTTAGAAGACATTTAGACGCTCTCTGTTTAACAACTGTGTCAAGTGTTTGCTGCATCTATTTACTTCTATAACAAATCAAACAATGCACACCACGGGGGCCATAATGACGCCTCGGCTAAGGAACACGATGAGAGGAAGGGAAGGTGGGGAAGAGAGTGGAAGGAGGAGCGGGGGTGAAGCAGAAGAAGAAGAAAGAAGTGTGGAAAGTGTGAATAAGCGGTGGCTTAGGGAGTGTGTGGTGTTGTGTCCACTGCAGGTCTTCATTAAGACAGGAAGTGATGACTCACACCTGCCTGAGATTTTCAATACCACTCTTATTAGTGTCTGCAGTATTTGTGCCTCAGTTCTTTCTCCAAATTTACAAAACAAAAGGTTAACGTGAGTTCAAAATGAATTTGGATTTTTCTGTCTTTTGACCTATTGTAAATAAGAAAAGAATATAAAAAAACAGCCAAAAGAAGTGGAATTTGAATGCCCTTTGTATAATAATGTAATAATGGGGTTAAATATAAAAGAGCAATAACTGGTTTAATAATGAAACTACATACTATTTTTAACTATTTATTAATAAGCTGGATGTAACTTTAAAAAAAAAGTTGTTACATCAGGAAATCATTTTCGACTCAGTGTTGAAGGCTTCTCTCTGGTGTGAAAACAGCTTGGAAATGAAGGTTTCACAGTGTCAGGCCGGCAGAAGTCTTGCATCTGTCAACACCACGAGCTGTTACTTCAGCGTTCTGCTGTTAGCGGGGTTCATAATTGTGAAATTAATTTGTAAAATGAATGTGAAACAAAGCTGGAAAATATGAATGTGTTCAGGGTTCATACAAACATGTCAACAAGGTGATTGAGCTGCAGCTTAGATTCATCTGCCTGGATGCTCCGACTCTGACACCGTATGCTCATACGTCTTCATTAATCCAAAACCACATCCTTTAGTTGGGTTTTCACTTTTTTAAAGTCAGTTTTAATTAATTAACAGCCTTGATGATGATTTTTTAAAAATATATCTAATATTGTGTCTTGTTTTTGTTCAGGTTTCTTCCCTCTACTAGTTCAGGAAGTGGATTTAAGGAGATAAGAGAAAAAAGATGAGATTAGATGGAAAAAGTTGAACAGCAACAATTTCCACAACCTGATGCAGCTTTAGATTTAATAGGTTTTTAGGCAGAGAGTGTAGGATGCACTGCTGATCTCAGCTGAACCCAGAACAGCCCAGACATTTGAAATTAGTATCTGAGCTACTGTAGCTATTATACTGTAGGAGGTTTAGGAAAATGACTTCAATAAAACTCTCACTCTCACTGTATCACAAATATACATGACTGTACATGTACAGTCATGTATATTTGCTTGTCAATCTTCTCTGTAGTCACTTTATTCTGCGGCCTCTAAAACAGGGCCACTGTCTACATGCCAGTCATTACAGCAGCTCTAACTCCTGTGTGCACACAATGCCTTTCATACGCAAGGTAACTCTTTGTCCTTGACAGTACATTAAACTGTTTACTAATGTAGCTGATGTAGTTCCACCTTTATTGCATGTACTGAAATCATCACAAGGAATGATCTTTCAGACGTACCCTTCTTAATTAGCTCCGAGCTACAGTTTCTGTGACAACTGGAGCTGCTGTGAGCGCGTTGTCTCGTGTAGTCACCTTTAGGTTGCATATGCATTCTTCTCTGCTTTCTGGGGAGAATCTTTTCAAGGGTTATGTCTTGGTTTTAAGGACAGCAGTGAATTACGTCAGTGGGTTTACCCCATGAGGATAGTGTTCGAAGTTTGCGCATGTGCTCGTGTGTGTTGGTGTGCATGCAAAAGCTCTGGAGCATCGCCCCCGGAATCTCTACTTCCTGTATAACAATCCAGCAGCGGTGTGCTGCGGCCAGAGACTTCTTTTCTTTGATATGAATAGCAGGCAAAAGGTCTTGGCTGGAGGCTGATATGTGTCAATCAGAGCAGACTTTTTTTTCTTCCCTCCACACAGCAGCAGCAGCAGCAGCAGCATCTGCCGTCCTGTCCGTCTCCCTCACCCACAGCCAATCCCCCCCCCGCACTGATA